CCTATTTGCATATTGTTTCAAGCTTAACTATAAACTGAAAAAGGTTCTGTTTTTATATGCTTAAGATGTTTGTTTAAGGTCTCTTTTTGGTTTGGGGTTGTTTACCCCCTCTTAGGCCTTGTTTGGCCTTATTTTAGGCCACCCCTTTTGGCCCTTGTTCTTTGCTTTGCATGACCTTTTTACCACTAAAACCCAGAGGATTTTCAGTGGTGGAAAGGTGGTTTTAGAGTCTTGAATAGAAGAGGGACACCCCCCCTCTCCTTGTGTCTCATATGCTTGTATTGTTGGCTTATAAGAGTAGCATGTTTGCCTAGCATGTTTTTGCTTCATTTCAGCAAGTGTTTGGTGTTATTTGGTCATGTTATACCTCTATTTTAAGTTGGTTTAATGGTCTCTTGCATGCATCATATACTTGCCTTGCAATCCTCTCATTTGTCTTAACATGCATCATGCATTTGGACCATCATGCTTGCATATTTTGGCTCAACTCAAAGGAGCTTTTGGTCATGTTTTACCATGTTTGAACTCTGTTTAGTGTGGTCTCGGTCATGCTTGCATTGTTTTGCATAGCCTTGGTTCATTCTAGCTTGTAAGCTTTATGCCTTGAGTTCATTAGCATATGTTACTTGAAGTATTTTCATGATTTGGCATCATGTGAAATGTGATTTCAGTCCATGTTTCATAGTCACACACTTGCATTTATCACATATTCCATGCTTTGGATAGTTTGTGTTTTATGCCTTAAGAATAGGTCATTGTGCATGCCACCATGCTTAGGCCTTTGGAATGCCATCTCAGTGGGTATTTGGGCTTGTTTTGACATGTCATAACTCTGATTTTCATTGGCTAAGTCATGCCATGCTCGGTTGTAGTAGGTGTAGTATAACACCCTTTTGTAGCCTTGCATGCTTCATGTTTTGTGCTCACCTTTCTAGCATGTTTTGGCCTCATTCCTTACATGTTTTAGACTCACTTTGGTATGATTTGGGACTGTTTTAGTTGCCCTTGGCCCTTTGGGGCTTGTCTTGCATAGCCATGGTGTAAGTCCCTTTGCCAATCTTGAGCTTTGAGCCTCTTCGTATGCTATGCTTGCTTTGTTTGAGTGGTTTGGCACCACTCCTTGCATGATTTCAGAGCTTACCTCATTGCCATATTGTCATGTTTGTCACTTCTTGCTCATGTTTGAGAGTTGCGCCCTTATGCCTAAGTGATAGGTCAATTGGCATGCATGCTTATTTTGCATTTCATTCCATCATTCCTTAGCATTTTGGCCACTGTTTTTGGTGTGGCTGAGGCCTATCCATCTTCAGTGTAAGTCCATGGATCATGCGGTTTGTGGGTTGTTGCATGCTTATCGCATTGCATGTTGTTGCATGCTTGTTGTTGGTATTGTTGCGGCATACCTATTACATTGCATGTTTGTATGTCTAAGTTGCATTTTGCATGTTTGCTAGTTAGCACTTTGTCACGTGCTTGTTTAGGTTGCATTGCATTTGGCATGCTTGTTACCTTAACCTTATGTGCATGCTTGAAATGCATTGCATTTGGCATGCTCATGTTGCATCGCATAGCTTTCCTTGGTTGCATACATTGCTTTGTTTTTGGTTTGGGGTGTCAAACCAAACACGAGAAACGAGGAATTGTTGCATTGTCATGCACCTTTTTACTTGCGTTGTCACGCACGTCTTGCTCGCATTGTTATGCGTACACTTAGGTTGCATTGTTATGTACCCCTTACTTGCGTCGTCGCGCATGCCCCTACTTTTATTGTTATGCTCGTTCTCAAGACTTGGACGTCATCGTTTGTTTTTGTGCATTCATTTCATATTGATTTGCACACTTGGCTCCTTTGACCATCACGCATTGAAATGCACAATTGATGGTCCGAGGTTCGAGAACCACACTCCCTTGAGTTCATGACATGATAGGAAGGATGGTTGTGCACACATTGCCGTGAAAATGCATTGCCATGCTCTGTTTGTCCTCTGCTGCAGCAAAACAGCATTCTGCAGGAAGATATGGCCGGCCGGCCATCTTCAGTGCCGATCGACTAATTATTGTTGGTCGAGATCCTCACAAATGGTCAATGAGAAATTACACATGGTCGGTGTTCCTATGTTTTGACCGGTGACATCTCACTATGCTCAGGGAGTGATTCAAAAGCATCCTTGGGACTTGTGCAGTTTTCAGAGGCACAGAACAGTGCAAATAGAGGCAATATGTGGCATGGCAACAGGTTTCCGAGCGAGGCGACCGAGCATGCATTCGTCCCTCTTCCCGAGGCCGCTTTCCTATTCTTCATAGCTTAATTAATTTTTTTAATTAATTAAGAGTTATGTAATAATTAATTAGCTAGAGCAGTTAATTAATTAATTGATTTGTATTATTTATTCGGACCCTCCATCGAGAGGGCGAATTTTGTAATAAGTGTGCGTGAGTGTGTGAATGTCTTCCAATCCCACGTCTTTCTCCCTTTTACTTAACCGCTTACGATGGTTAGTTCTAGGTCATGTTTTGATTAGCATACTTATGATAGCATGTTTGCATTCATTCATCTGTATTGCATACACCAAGCTCGGCGCATCATACTAACTGCATTATATTTCAATACCAACTTGAATACATGATTATCCAGTTGCATTTCATATGCCATTTTAGAATAGCCGAGCCTATTTCTAGTTACATTTTGCATGTGTTGCATTAGCCATCTTAACATAAAGTAGGATCATGCATTGATTACTAACTAGCCATTGTTTTGGCTTGGAGTACTAGGTAAGCTTTTATGCTTTAGCATCTTGCATGCGTGTAAATGTTGCCATGTTTAGCATGCTTGCCATGAGGCTATGTGCTTAAGTGATATAACTGCCCGAATGCCTGTGGGTAAACACTGGATTACTTAAATTGGAACAATTCATCGAAATGCGCATGTTAAGCCCACTTGAGGGTGGCAAAATCATGTTTTTCTAAGCCCACTTGAGGGTGGCAAATCCACGTCTTAGCCTATTTACGAGTAGCACCTTCAAACCATTTTCAAACAAACATGAGATGTTTTGTTCCAACTTAGGCGATCTAGTCTATACTTGTGTGTTGTGCGCATCACATAGTAATTATAGGCTAATAACCGGAATAAGAACACATGTGTTTTCAAAAACGAAATATCATGCTTAGTAAAGACCGATCTTCGATCGGGCGAGCGGGGGTGCTCATTGCATGACATTCCCCTCTCGTATCCAAGTTCCCAAGCCGAGGCAACTTTGGTGATGACGGACACGTGGCCTTAGGCATGAGTCAGGGTTTCCTAAATTTTCCAAAATAAAATATTTAGGTGGCGGCTCTGTATCTGGCAAAGCAATCTATGTTTGGCACTTCTTTACAAAAATCAATTTTTCAAAACGATTTGCCAAATTTGGACTCTTTGGTGATTTATCAATCTCACATTGCACATTGTGAGATCAGATTAAGAACCGTGACATTTGAGTTCGAACTGTAGCACAGCATAAAGCCCCTCGGGGCACGTCTACATCGTCCAGCACGGCCTAGCACTCAGGGGTTTATTGAAATGTTTTGCCCTACCGAAGTGTATGAAAAAATGGTCGGCAACGATCCGAGGAACGGTTGATAAACCTATTGAGAGCTGCGGCCATTCCCATCAACTTCTAAACTTCTTTGGCCGACTGAGGGGAGCTGAGTTCTATAATTGCCATGATCTGTCTCGGGTTGGCTTCTATTCCGCAATGGTTCACAATATAGCCGAGAAACTTGTTGAATTCGATGCCGAATACACATTTCGATGCATTCAGTTTCATTTTGTACTTTCGGAGAATGCCGTAGGTCGCGGCTAAGTCGGCTAGATAAGCATGCTTTTCTTTGGATTTCACCAGCATATCGTCAATGTATACTTCCATGGTGCGGCCAAACTGTTTTTTAAACATAGTAGTAACCAGACTTTGGTACGTTGCCCCCGCATTCTTTAGTCTGAACGGCATGACCTTGTAGTAATAAGTTTCCCATAGGGTGAGGAATACAGTCGTTTCCTAGTCCTCCAGATGCATGACAATTTGGTGGTAACCCTGGTAAGCATCCAAGAAACTCATGCGTTGGTGGTGCGCAGTAGCGTCCACAAGTTGATCAATTCGGGGAATAGGAAAATAGTCTTTGGGGTAGGCCTTGTTCAAGTCCGTGAAATCTACACAAACACGCCAAGATCCATTTTTCTTTTTGAAAACCAGAGTATTGGACAACCATGTTGGATAGGTTACTTCACGAATTGCCCTAGCTTCCAACAGTCTATCAACTTCGTCGACAACGACCGAAGTATGCTTCGCAGCCAACCGTCAACTTTTCTGAACAATTGGTTTAACCTTTGGGTCAACGTTTAAACAGTGTTGGGCTACACTCGGATTCACCCCCAGCATCGCATACAACGTCCAGGAAAATACGTCAATGTTGCCAACTAAGAAGGAAACCAGTCTTTGTCTTTCAGCTTCGTTCAGGGAGGTGCCGATCATGAAGAACTTGTGGGGTTCCCCTTTGATTCCGACCTGATCGAGGTCTTCAGTTGCCTTTTCACTAGGGTTTTTTCCAATGTCCTCGAGGACTTCTCGAACCGGGACTTCAATCGAGTTTACTTCCAGTTCCTTCAGCTTCTTTGCCGAAGCAGTAATATAGCATGCCTTTGCCAACTTTTGAGAACCCCGAATTTGCTCGATGCCATGTTGCATTGGAAAACGAAATAACTGATGGTAGGTACTTGATACAACCTGCATTGCGTGCAACCAGGTTCTTCTCACGATAAGATTGTATGGTGATGGAAGTTTGATGACCAAAAACTCCATATCGACTAATTTGGTGCCTGCACGGACTGATAATGTGATCTTGCTCAAAGGGTACTCGGGGTTGGCATTGAAGCCGAATAGAGGATAGTCGGTCGGTAACAAGTCCGAATCAGTAAAGCCGAGTTTAATAAATGTTTTGTAATACATTATCTCTGAGGTGCTCCCCTAATCGATCAGAAAGCGTTCGACGACGAATTTGTGTACACGCAACTCCACGACAAGGGCATCATCGTGGGGAAGTGTTACTACTTCAAGATCAACATCGTCAAAGCTGATTTTGCTAGTTTCATGAGGCCGTTTAGCTGGTGTAAATGGCTTGGATGGGCTAGGTTGTAGCTGGATCGTATGTACTTGAGTTGGCGGCGGCAGACTGTATATCATGTGAATTACACCAAGTGAAGGTGAATCCGGCCGTAGAGCTACCCTGTTCGGTTGATTGTTCTTACGGACATATTGTGCTAGTTGGCCATTTTGCACCAACTCCTCTAGGTGGTCCTTAAGTGCATAACAACTATCAGTGGCATGGCCATAGTTCTTGTGATATTCACACCGCATATCCCTCCGTCTAGTATCAGGGGGTCCAATCATCTTGGACGGCCACTTAAAGAACGGCAGATGCTAGACTTTGGATAGGATCTTACTGATCGGCTCTGCTAACTCCGTATACTTCTTGTCCGAACATCTGGTGCGCCTACTACCCACTTGATACTGTTCATTTGAACACTCGCTTGATCGGTGCGAATCATATCGATTGTCTCATTTAGCCCGACTCCGAGGTTCAGGGCTTCTTGGTGGTACAACGCTTATCAGCTAAACCAGACCAGATGGGGCCGACTTCACGACTTTCTATCCGGCCTTGACATGAAGGGCATCGTCTTCCACCTTGCAGTACTCTTCAACTTTCTTCATTAGCACCCAGATTGTTTTGGGAGGCCGTCTAGTCAACAAACTTCGAAGAGGACTATCGAGGTGTAACCCCATTTTAAAGGCGGTGATGGCCATGGAATCATTACAGGCATTGTTCACCAAGTTGAAACATTCCTAGTAGCGTGCCGAATACTCATGGAGGGTCTCTTCTGGTTTAATTTGCATCGCCCAGAGAGAGTCAGCTTGCTTTGGTTGAACCTCGTTGGTGATGAATCTTGCCCTAAAGGATTTTTGGAGCTGATGAAAGCTTTTTATTGACACCGGCTCCAGTTTATAATGCCATCTGACGGCCAATGGTCCCAGGCTGCTTGGAAACATTCGACACATGAGGGCTTCATCATCAGCATGCAACGTCATCGTTTGTTTGTGATAACGAATGTGATCTGTAGGGTCTGACTTACCGTTATACAAGGTGAACGTTGGTGTGGACGCGCCCTCGGGCTTTATGCCACCACAGTTCGGACTCCCTTTTGTGTCACGGTTCTTAGTCTGAACCAAAGAGTCCAAATCCGACAAATTGTTTTGAGAAAACATATTTGTAGAAAAGAAGTACCAAACATGGACTACTTTGCCAGATACAGAGTCGCCACCTAAATATTTTTTAATGGGAGAATTTAGGAAACCCTGACTCGTTGCCTAAGGCCACGTGTCCGTCATCACCAAAGTTGCCTCGGCTCGGGAACTTGGGTACGATTGGGGAAGGTCAGCTATGAGCACCCCCTCTCGCCCGATCCGAAGATCGGCCTCTACTAACCATGATATCCAAATTTGAAAACGTTATGTGTTCTTATTCCAGTTAATTAGCTAGAATTACTATGTGATGCGCACAGCAAAACAAGTACAGACTAGATCGCCTAATTTGGAACAAAGTATCGCATATCCGTTTGTTTGGAAAATGTTTTGAAATTTGCTACTCGCGAGTAGGCTAAAACATGGATTTTGATGAGTTGTTCCAACTCAAGCAATCCACCCACAGGCATTCAAACAGTTTATCACATAAGCATCTAGCCACATGGTAAACATGTTGTCATGGTAGCATTCACACGCATGCGATATGCTAAAGCATTTAAAATACTCACATGGTACTCCTTGCCAAAACAAAGAACTCGTTAGCAATCAATGTATGATCCAAGTCCATGTTAAGTGTCTAATGCAACGCATACAGAATGCAATTAGGATAGGCTCGGCTAATCCTAGGATGGCATGTGAAATGCAACCATTTGATGCACATATTCAAGTTAGATTTGAAATACTTATGCAGTTAGCATGATGCGCCGAGCTCGGTGCATGCAATGCTGGTGAATGATGCACGCATGCATAGCATAAGGTATGCTAAATTAAATATGCCCTAATACTAACCATCAAAGCAGGTAAGTAAAAGGGAGAAATAAGTGGGGGCTAGAAAACAAGCACACACGCACCCACACTTATTACAAATTAGCCCTCGCTCGGAGGGACCAAAAGAATAATACAATTAATTAACTTACAAGCTAATTAATTATTACAAACAAATTAAACTAGTTAAGCAAATTAACTAATCTAATAAAACAGTAAACAGCCTCGGGAAAAGGGCCCAATGTAATGCATGCTCGGTTCCGTTCGGAAGTCCACTGCCATGCACAAGTTGCCTCTATTTTTACTGTTTGGCACCTTTGAAAATTTCACAAACTCCAAGGTTGCTTCTCTGAGTGCTGTGGAACACCACAGGCCATGAGGAATGGTCATTGGCCATGGGGAATGGTCATCGACCACCTGTGGAGATATCGGCCACAAATTGTTGGTCGGTCGGCACTGCATGTACCCGACCGGCCAAAACTTCCTGCAGAACCTGTTTTGACAGCAGCAGAGGGAAAAACAAGGCATGGCAATGCATTTCAAGCAAATGTGTGCACCAACATATCCTTTATCATGTTTGTGACTTAAAGGGACATGGTTCTCAATTCTCGGACCACCAACCGCGCATTTCAATACGTGATGACCCAAGAAACCATGTATGCACTTTGATTTCAAATGAGATGCACATCAAACAAACAAGTGAGGCTCAACCTCTATCATACTCAATTCAAGAGGCAAAGCATGCATGCCAATGCAATGCAACCTAGGCATGTTAACTAAGTATGCAACATGGGCATGCAATGCACAATGCATACTAGGCATACAACCTATGCAAGCAAGCATGCAAGGCATAAGGCAATGCAAACCAACAAGTGTGCAAGATGCAATGTGGATGTTCAAGCACGTAGCAACACATGGAGCAAACATGTTAAACAACCTAAACATGTAACAACACACAAGGTGAGCATGCAACAACATGCGAATAATGGACTTAAACTAATTTGGGCAGCTCTATACTAAGCCCAAAACAGTGGCCAATTGCTAAGAGAATGAGGACCAAATAACATGCAAGCATGCATGCACACAAGGACCAACACTTAGGCATTGAAGAGCAACTCTCAAGCACACTTAAGAGGATGAAAACATGGACAAATGACATGCATTATAAGCTCTGAAAATCAAGTCATGAAAGGTACCAAACCAACTAGACAAGACAAACAAAGTATGCAAGCAAAGCCAAAATTCAAGGCAAACCAAAGGTGTATTGAACTACACTTAGCAAAATCGGACATGACATGAATTAAACAACCAAAATCAGAGTTTTAGCATATTAAGACAAAGCCAATAACACATCTAGATGGCATCTAAATGGCTTAAACATGCAAGCATGCACAAGGGCCTAAACAAGGGGCATAAGACAACAACCTTTTAACACATTAAAGGGGCATCAAATGCAAGCATGCAAGCATGTCATGAGGACTGAAATGACATGTTAAATGGTTCCAAACCACTGGAATAATGCAAGTAATGCATGCTCATGGTTCATACACTTGAGGCTTACAAGCCAAGAATATAAAGAGGCTAAACAAAGCATGGCAAGCATGGCTAAGACAACCTACATCAGACCTTAAGCATGGCAAAGCAAGCCTAAAAGCTTCACAAAGCTTGGCCAAAACAAGCAAGCATGGTAATCTACATGCTGAGTACATGTTAAGGCAAATGATTGTATTACAAGACATGTATGCTAAACAAGCATGGTGTGCCTAAACCAACATAAAACAGTGCTATAGCATGGCAAAATAACACTAAATAGCAGCTAAGATATAGCCAACATGAACCTAAATAAGATGCTCACTCAAGAGACTAAAATAGCCCTTTTCAAGGACAACAAGGAGAGGGGGTCTCTCCTTCGTAGGACCTCAAAGCACCATCCTCACCACTGAAATCTTAGTGGTGAGGAGGCCCAAACAAGGTGGTCCCGGAGCTTACCAAAATAGCACAAAATGAGGGCCAAACAAGGCCTAAGAGGGGTCAAACAACCCCAAAGCTCAAAACACTCTTAAACAACTATTTAGAGCAAGAAAAAACAAGACTTTTATATGTTATACACAAAGTCTAAAAATAGTTGCAAGATAGGTGAAAACGCTATTCAAAAATGGGAAAAAATGGGGTAAGATTGTTGCCCTTGTAGACCCTCTTCAAAAATGGAAGACCAGCAGCTTCCTTAGGTTCAAACCAGTCCAAAACCTCCAAGAACAAGCCCCTTATGCCTCAGCAACTAAGGTATGGTGTAATGGTAAGTGTTTGTGTGCAAAACTAAGACTAAGCACACACAAAACACTCAAGAGAGGGAGAGATATAGAGACAGAGTATGAACAAACCCTAACCCTAAAACTCAAAGCTCTTAAAAATTTTGTAACCCTAATGGAAGGAGAAGAGGCTCCCTCTTATAGACAATCCCTCTTGTAAAGCTTTCCAAACAAGCTAGTCAAGAGGGAGATCCCTCCATATACGGGAGCAAAGTGTATGCCAGCTAGCACAGCTGGCATAAAAATATCTGTAAAAGCAGATGAACAGTGGTCGGCCAGCCAAAATGCAATTTGACCAAAATAGATGGTCGGTCGACCATCTAGAGTGCCGGTCGGCCAAACATTTGGCCGATGGCAACAAAACACAGCCGGTGGCCTCAATCCATGGCCGGTGGAGTGTGGGGATGGCCAACAAGCCATTCCCTGACCTCCAAAGCAAAACACAAGTGTTTGGTGCAAAACCAAACACAAAACGTAGCTGAGACTCCGGGACTCAAAACGAAACACAACGGATGTACCGAGTGTTCAATAGGTGACCAAATACACGTCTTAGAGGGACGGTCCAAAAATGGGGTGTCTACAGTTGCCCCTCTTTAGACAGACTCGAAAGTCATAAGAATGACGGGCAATAAAGATATGCGCCCGAAGGCAGGGGCGAAATGCAACTGATAATGCAAGAAGCCGAGCATAACTTATGGTCATGCAAAGAAAGCTGTAACGAAGCATAACATGCAACAGTTTTAAGCTAGCATACATTAATCCAACTACACTATAATTCAGAGAGGATGCAAGAGAATTATGCAATTCTCGATACGTCTCACTTGGAGGATACAATACCTGTGCGGCTCGTCTAGTTGCACAAGCTTCAAATGAACTGTACATACAATATCATGCCAGAAAGAGAAAGAAAACTCAACAGGTGCAATATCGTTAGCAACATGCATAACAATGCAATCGAAAGCTACGCGACAACGCGAATATAGGATTTAAGGTCTCCTTAGACCAAGGGGTGCACAA